CAGCCTGCACATCCACAGTGTCCCGAGGGCACTTGTAGACCTAGAGAAGGGAACCCCAAAGGAGAGGGGTGAGCCACGGGAGGAGCCCAAGGCCACGCAGACAAGGTGGGGATGAACTCCACACTGGCCATCTCAGGCCACAGAACCTACACAGCTGTCCCCTGGGCTGGCTCCGCCTCCGATGTTACCCGCTGTGCCCCAAGTGGGGCAGCCTTGGTAAAGTGGCCCAGGCTCTGCAGCATGTTGTACAGAGTGGTCGCCCTGACAACACTGCTCTGGCTTCACATGACTGACAGGCCCCCGGCTGTGCCCCGCTTGGTTTCATTTCTGGAAATAACCCCGTCCCTTGGGACATGACCCCCCAGGACACAGAGGTGTTCTCTCTCCCTGGGAACTGGAGTGGCAAGGGTATGATGGCTTCCACCCCAAAATAAGACCTGTCCATTCTCACAGGACACGTGTTAACTGCAACCTTCGGGCATGACTTCACCAGAGGATACAAATTCACAAAGGGTTCAAGAATAGCAAGTAACTGATCGATTTTTAGGTTATTATTATTTATAAATATATCTTAGAAATTCTAATCTATTCCATTATGTGAGAAACGTGGTGAATCCCCAGGATCACTTGCCTTAAAAAACCTTCATATGTAAAAAAAAAAAAAAAAAATCCTTCGTATGTGAGTGTTCCTCCTAACATGTCAACTGAATCACACTAGAAGCATGAAATGTTAACACTTTTTAAAGCATATGTACTTTGGATTTAAAATATTAAGTTGGATTTTAAATACCCCAGCTTAAGTTGAAGCAAACCTTGTGCATGATTGCAGAAAAACAGAACTGTATTCATCGTTGCAATTAGAATACTGAAATAACACTGGATTATGTACATGGTTGGATAAAGAAATGCACCTTGTGTGTGTTATGACTTTGGGGAAAAGGTCCTACTGAATGGTCCACAGCAGTCAGAGTTTTCTGTTGATTTTAGGAGGGACTTCACATTGCAAGTCTGAGAAAATATTAATAACTCAGAGTATCAGCTCACATACGTTGAACAGAGACACTATAGGGGAGCAGTAATAAGCATAGGTTTCCTGATCTTGAGTGTGTGACTCCAGGCTTGTGACACAAGGTTTCTATTTCCAGTTTCCTCATCTGCAAAATGGAGATAATAAGAACTCACCTCAACATCCTTGGGACAAATAAATGGAGGAGCGGGGTTAAGGTGCTTAGAGTCCTTCATGCTGAGATGCTTGCTATTTATTATTTGTTGTTAATAATCACACAAAGGTCTCCTAGGAGCTCGTGAGAGGTCAGTGCTGTTGGCTGCTGATTTAGTAATTGACTAGGGGCTTAAAATACCAGTAACATCAAACCAGCCTCCCCAAAGTCACTTAAAGTAATATATTCAGCAATATATGTAACAGATGCCCCAATAACACTATGTAAGTTACTTTCCCACAAAACATACCCCAAATTCACAGCAAGGCACAGCCCTTGCACTGCACTAATCCAAACCACAGTCTTTTCAAAAAATGTGGTCCAGAGAGTGGCCACTGGGGGTGAGTCCCCAGCAGCCAGCCCACCCCCCTCCTTTTCCTCCAGCTGACTGGTCTATGGGGCCACCGGTGCCCTTCACCGTGACCAGCTCACTAAGTGTCCGGCAGCTGTGTGCAGGGCTCGCTCAGGGCTTCTAAGAAAAAGCTACAGCCCCCACCACTGGGGGTGGTCAGCAGTCAGCCTCTTGGGAAACAGCATTGGAATCAAGCTGACAACGGACTGTAGGTCAGAGAAACCCAAAGAGTCTGGAGCTTGGGAGACACTGTCCAGCCCTGAACCCACCCTTTTTCCCCACCTCCTCTCATTGAGTGGATCTCCTAGCTGTCTAATGCAGCGTGAAGCTGGTTTCCTTTTCTTTGCTGTTGAAAAACAGACATCTTAGTGTGGGCACAGTTGTCCCCTCAACTGACAGTTAACATGTGGAAGCAAGGAAGCCCCCCTGCTCACAGAGGCCGCATACCCCAGGCTGAAGCCATGAATGGAAGAGTCTTCCAGAATGTTGTTGACTTTGTCCCAAGGCAGAGAGAGAGCTGGGCTCCATCTGCTCCCACCACTCCCAGCCCGGGTGGCCTCATCCCCATTTATGGCCTCAGTGTTCAGCGACGCCATTCCCCCATCAATCAAACGAGAGGCTGGACTAGATGGAGAAAGGACTCCGACTAGCACACCTCTGTCCCAGCGCATGGTGCACACCCCGACACCCCCTGGGCGTCGCCCCCATGCCTCCCCGGCCTGGGCTGTGTCCAGGGGAGTCTGTCAGCCTAAGCAGAACAACTCAGAGTGGATTCCTGACACCCAGAAGCTTCATTATGGGGACCCGGGACCTCAATCACCATCCTGGACTCTCCCGTGTGCCCGTGTGCGCCGCGTCAGTGATGACAGTCACACTTCTTCCTGCTGATGAGGCCCCGTCCAGGCTGGAGAGACACACCCAGTCTCAGGAAAGCTGTGAAACCACCGCAGTTAAAGGGAGTGCTACCTGCTCTCCAGGGCCGGGGCCTGCAGTGTGCTTTGACGAACAGCCGGCGTGTGCTGAACGCTCTGGGGGGCCGGGAGGGTCTCCAGGTGACAGGTGAAGGCCCCGGGACTCCGGGAGGCTGGTTTATGGGTCACAGCACTGCCTCCTCCCTAGAAATGCACTCTGCTGGGGACATGCAGGAGGGGCTGCCCAGCGCCCCCGGGGGGCAGGCCGAGAAGCAGTAAATTGTGGGGCCGTGGGCAGCTGCTCCTGCAACCTCCAGGCCCAGGGAGAAAAAGCGCCATCAGCCAGAGGGGCGGCTTCCTCTGAGCTACTCCGGACTCGCCCAGTGGGCAGACAGTGACACAAATTCGTAAGGCAAGTCGGACAGAGAAGGGGGCGGGTGAGGGACAACGAGCAAAGTGGGCCAGAAGAGATTGGAGGAAATGAGTCCTCCCAGAACCAGGGGGTGCACAGGTGAAAACAAGACCCAGGTAACCAGGCAGGTCATGGCCCCAACACGCAGGAACTGTGGAAGACCTCTGTGGCTCCCTCCTCTTACAAGACCCATCCGATATGTTCTATCAACAACCCGGGTTTCTATCGGGGGCAACTATTCACCGAGAAGAAAAACCCTGTCACAGCTCCTTTAGAGTACCAGAAATAGGATGTTACTTGGGGAAAGAAACCTTCACCGGACTTCCGGACACACAATTCTACCTGGAGCTCAGAAACTGACAACGGGCCACAGCACAGGCAGGCTGGGAAAGTGCCTGCTTCCTAAATTAAAAATTAATTAAAATTTAAAAAATGATTTATTTGGCTGCACTAGGCCTTAGCTGTACAGGCAGGACCTTAAGAGCTTTGTTGCAGCCTGCAGGTGTGGCATTCAAACACTTAGTTGCAACATATGGGATCTGGTTCCCTGACCTGGGATTGAACCCAGGCCCCTGGATTGAAAGTGTGGAGCCTTAGCCACTGGACCACCAAGGAAGTCCCTTGCTGTGCTTTTCAAAGGCTCAGAGTCTAGAAGGCCCATCTCAATAGGTCCGATGATGAAAATGATTCCACGGGAATTTAGTCCTCAAAAATTAACAAGAAGACCTCTCTTATCACTTAGTCTGGGTCCTCAAAATGTTTAACCAAACATATTTTAAAGAACTGCAAACTAGAAAAAAAAAAAAAACTCCCCTGAAAATATTTAATGTAAGTTAATTCCTGGAGATGGTGCTTTTTATAAAATGTTCAGCAACTGCCTTTTTTTTTTTTAAGGGACAGGGCAACAGGAAGGTGGGGACAAGACATCAGAAAATGATATGACTGTTTTTTATTCCGATGACAGTAACAAGGAGGCCCCCCGCCACTCTGCTTTATGTAAAAACACGTCCAGCATCGGGAGCAGTCATCAGCGGGAAGGGACCAAGCCCCCGGCGCCCACAGGGCATCTTCAAGCCACAATTCTGGGCCCCCCTCAACTGTGTCCAGAGCCACTGGCCAATACCACGAATTCCCCTTCCCATCGCATCTTGTCTTCTCTCCTTCCCTCTCTTTCAAGGCTTCAGGAAGACAGCAGAGGGATCACGATGTCGAAAGCAAGGACAGTTCTCACAAGCATATCGCTGTTGGCCTGTGCGGGGTGAACTCAGGAAGGCACACAATAAATTAAAGCAGAGCCCATCTCTCAGGAGGGTCTGCGGTGACCTCCAGGGTGGGGACCGGGTCTGGCAGCAGCCGAGTTTCCAGCACTGGTGAGGTGTCAGGACCGCTATAGGGAAGAGGCAGTTTCCTCCTTTCGGAAGCTGCGGCGGTCTGCAGGGTGAGTGGTCGCTTGGAGGAGACAGTCCTCCGCTTCTGCTCCCAGGGTTTCCTGGCCCTGAGCCCTCCGGGGCCAGGGGGCCTCCCGGCGTTACCTGCTGGTCCACCACAGCCAGGGCTGGTGGCAAATGAGTCCACAGGGCTCCACCTACCACTGACTTACGGAAGTCCCTTGGGGGAAAAAAAATCAAACCGGAGGTTGCTGCTCAGGAAAACAATAAAGTGCTTTTTGATGACAGTAGCTGTTATCTACTGGTTGTTTTTCATTTCACCTGAGGCACCGACATCAACGACATGAAAGGCGATCATGTTTACCAGGAGTGAAAAAAAAACTGTAAAAGCTTGTTTCCACTAAGAAGCCTGCAGTTCTATAACGTACTTCTCTACTGGTTTCCACGTCCTCGTGTTACTAAATTTTAACGCACTACTGGAAAGGGAAATAGTTTACGCTGGAGTGGGGAGGGTGGACAACACGAAGACAGAAAAGGTCCATAAATATCCCTTAAGGGCTCCACTTGTGAAGGTGTGAAAGGGGGTGACGGCCAAAAAGGCCAGGCCCCGTGCTGAACCCAGATGTGTGTCCGGACGGGTGGAGACACGGAGTGGCTTCTAGAAGGGTCCACATGTCAACCTAAGAGTGTCCTCTGAGTCCACATGCTAGGTAACTGCTATAACACACTTGCATCTTCCATGGCCTCGATCCACCTGCAACACACGAGAGAGGAGACACTTGGTGTGGAGGTTCTGCCTGGAACTCTGGTCATGGAACCCAAGGGTGATGAGACAACAGCATCATTAATCCAAGGTGAGCGACCAGGTCCTGTTCTGTTTGTCCCCCTCGCGTTTAGCAGAGGCCCGGAGCGCAGTGCACAGCTGCTCAATGGATGAGTCAAGAGTACCCCCAGACCCTGCTTTATCATGCTTTGCTTTCCTGTGCTCAGAGACACTGCGTCCTCCCTCAATTGGAAGGTCTGTGGAAACCCTGCGCCCAGCAAGGCTAGCAAGCAGCACCCTTCCCCAACAGTATTTGCTCACTTCGTGTGTCTGCGTCACATTTTGGCAGTTCTCACCGTATTTCAGACTTCTCCATCGCTAGTCGATTTGTTGTGGTGATCTGTGACCAGTGGTCTTTGTTGTTACTACCCCAAAAAGATTATGACTTCTGAAGGGGCTCAGATGATGGTTAGTACTTTTAGCAATAAAGTATTTTCCAGTTAAGGAACGCACACTTTTGTAGACATAACGCGACTGCAGTTAATAGACTACAGGATAAACGTAACTTGTGTATGCACTGGGAAACCCAAAAGCTTGGGACTCCCTCGACTGCCCATGCGCTTCATCCCCTGGTCCGGAACCCCACCCACAGTCTGTCTGAGGTCTGCCTGGGAATTTCAATCCGCTCTTCTGCTGTGGCCCAAGGGAACCTGACAGGACAGAAGAGCCGGAGAAGAACAGAAGCCAAAGCCCAGGGTGACAGCTGGTTCCTTTCTGAGAGGGGGGATGGGGAAATGCAGGACTAATCATTTTGGTACCTCTGAGCCGAATTACTATCCTCGGCTTTGAAGCTATAAAATAGGGTCTTCTTGTGATAAAGATGAAAAGTAGGTCCGGCTTCACTGCTGCCTTCCTCCTTGCCTGGCGCAATGGTGAAGCCGAGCAGGGGCATACTCTCCAAGGCCACTGTGTCCTGCAGAGAGGCAGAGGGGAAACGGACGTTAAACACACCGAGAGCTCAGCATCCACGCTCTCCACCCTTACTTCCTGCCAGCACCAGTCACGAGGAGGAAGAGAGACTTAACATTCTGCAGCCAGGTTTACAGAGTCCTGGGACTTCCACATTATCTTGCTTAGTCTTCATGACGGTCATGAAAGGTGTCAGCCCCATGCTAAGAAGAAACTGAGGCTCAGGGAAGGTAAATAACGCCCTAAGATCACACAGCGTGGAAGGGGCAGGGCCAGCGTTGGAACTCATGAACACCTGAAACTCCGCATTCCTCCCTCTGATTTGGTGTGTCAGTGACTCAGACTTTCCACTGTCATTACCCCTGTTAATGTATTCTGTGCTCAGCCCCCCACAGTCTGTTTCACAGTGCTTCAATATGGAGCACTCAGGGCGTTTGTGCTACAAAGTTGGTAACAATTTGGTGAGATGCACCCACAGAATGCACACAGATCTTAAAATCATGGAGATTGGTGGAAAAAGAAAGAGCTTTATATATGTAAAGAACTTTTTACAATAAACACACCCATATTTATGTACAGATACACGTTCATAAAGAATACAACTTAATAAGATCATACATGAAGAGAGATAAATGGTTAAGCACATTAGAATGACTGTGGGAGAGAAGGGGGAGTTAAATTTGTGTATAAAAGGCAATCAATTTTCTAAGACTGCTGGACCAGAAAAAAACATTTGACAAAATTCAACCTCCACTCATGGTAAAAACTCTTAGCAAACTAGGAAACAGAAGGAAACTTCCTGGGTCTTCCCAGTGGTACAGTGGGCAAGAATCCACCCGCCAATGCAGGGAACATGGCTTTGATGCCTGCTCCAGGAAGGTTCCACACGCCACAGAGCAGCAATGCCCATGTGCTACAACTACTGAGCCTGCATGCCTAGAGCCTGGGCTCTGCAACACGAGAGGCCACGGAATCCAGCTCACTGCAAAGAGCAGTAGACCCTGCTCACTGCAAATAGAGAAAGCCCTCAGGCACCAACAAAGACGCAGCGCAGCCAACAAATAAACAGAGGGGAACTTCCTTAATCTGACAAACGGCATCTATAGAATATCCACCAATACCATCATACCCAATAGTGAACTACTTAATGCTTTTCCCCTAAGACTGAGACAAAGCAAGAGGGTACTGCCCGTTACCAATCAAATTTAACACTGCCCTGGAGGCCCTAGCCATTGCGCTAAGACAAGAAGAAGAAACAGAAGACATCAAGATCAGAAAAGAAGCAAAACTACCTGTGCCTAAAAAGGACATGTTTGATTACAAAACAACTAGTAGAACTAATAATCAATCTAGTGATGTCACAGGATAATTAATTCTTTTAGTATACTGTAATGGTCTTTATCTTTCTGGCTTACTTCGCTCTGTATAATGGGCTCCAGTTTCATCCATCTCATTAGAACTGATTCAAATAAATTCTTTTTAATGGCTGAGTAATATTCCATGGTGTATATGTACCACAGCTTCCTCATCCATTTGTCTGCTGATGGGCATCTAGGTTGCTTCCATTAATTAATTCTTTTTAAAAAATATTTTTGTACCATCAATGAACAACTAAAAAATAAACTCCATTCAAAACTGCCTCTAAAAATAAAAGTTAGGAATAAAGGTAACAGAAATGAGAGAAGTATAAGAACCTCTATACTAAAAAGTACAAAACATTAAGCATAGAATTTAAAGAACTAAATAAATGGATTATTCATGGATTGGAAGATTCAACATGGCTATGATGGCAATTCTCCCCACTCCCCAGACTGATATATAGATTCAATAATCCCTGTCATAATCTTAACAGACATTTTTATAGAAATTGACACATTTATATGGAAACACAAAAGACCCAAAACAACCTTTAAAAAGAACAAAGCTGGAGGACCTACACAAGGCTTACTATAAAGAATTAAAACCACATTAAGATACTACTACCCTTTCACCAGAATGGCTAAAATTAAAGACTGGCAATACCAAGTGCTCACAAATGTAGAGGAAACAAAACTCCCAAATTTACCTACATTGTTGCAGAGACTATAAAATGCCACACCATTTTGGAAAACTACCCGTTAAATTCTTAAAGACCATATGTATATTGTGTGATTCAGAAATTCCATTCCTAGGTATTTACCCAAGGTAAAATAAAAACCTATTTTCACACAAAAACCTGTATGCAAAAGTTTAAACTGGCTTTATTCATAATCACCTCAAATTGGAAACAACTCAAATGTCCTTCAACTGGTGAATGGATAAACAAAGAGGTATATTCACAAAATGGAATACTACTCAGCCATAAAAGGGCATGACCAACTGCATGCAACAATATGGATGACTCTTAAAAACATTGTGTTGAGTGGAAGAAATCATCCATGATTCCATTTATCTGAAGATCTAAAAGATATAACTAATATAATGGTAGGAAAAAATAAAACACAGTGTGTTGCCTCTGGGGATGGGGGTGAGGTAAGGATTTACAGGGGTATGCATTAGTCAGAACTTAACAAATAGTATCAAGATTGCTGTACTTTATCATATATAAGTTGTACTTCAAAATTTAAAAAAAGAAACACAAATATTGAACTCTTAGGGAGAATTAGCTCAGTTAGAAAAGAATCCGCCTGCAATGCAGGAGACCTTGGTTTGATTCCCGAGTTGGGAAGATCCCCTGGAGAAGGGACAGGCTACCCACTCCAGTATTCCTGGGCTTCTCTGGTGGCTCAGCTGGTAAAGAATCCACCTGCAATGTGGGAGACCTGGGTTCAATCTCTGGGTTGGGAAGATCCCCTGGAGAAGGAAACAGCTACCCACTCCAGTATTCTGGCCTGGGTTTCAAACAGTCAGACAGGACCGAGTGACTTTCACTTTCACTGAACGACTTTCACTTTTCAGGGGGAATTATACTTAAAAAGCATCAAAAAGCAAGATGGATGAGAGGCTAACAGATACTTGATTAAGTACAATAATATGTTAACTGTATAACCAAAATTCCTTCAATGTTTCTTTATGTTTAAAATGTTTTGTAATAATAATAAATATATTAACTACATAATAAAATATTGGAAAAAAATGTAAAAGATTCCTATATATTTCTGACAGGCACTCTCTCCCAGGGTGGATACTGAGTAGCAAGTTACCTCAGGGTACATGACTGGGGTGCATGGCAGCAGAAATCTGCTCATTCACTTTATCAAATCTCCTTCTTCTGATGGAATTTGAAAGCTTGGCCCTGTCACTGGTTTAGGCTTACTGAGCAACTGTACAAGTTCCTCTCTCTGAAGAAGTGGCTTTGGAAGCATCCTGAAATCCATCTTTGAAAACCAACCCACGCTGTCACTTCCATGACAACCGTCGCTCAGGACATAGAGCCTCTGGCTTTTCCGCTCTCAGACAGGATCCACACTCTGATGGTTGGTTAACTGTCAACAGCGTTTGCTCCCCAAGTGTGTTTTCCATGAGATGCTCTGTGGAGGAAGGGCCTGCTCTCAGGACAGCTGGGCACTCTCCACACCTCGGGGACCCAAAACACACCGTTGTGCACCCCCCTCAAAAGCACTGCTGTGAGGAAGTCTCACAAACTGTCCACTCAGTTCTCTCAGAACCCACGTCTCAGAGGGTGCCCCCGCCGCTGTGGGTGTCCTGTGGAACGTCTACTTAGGAAGATGCGCAATGGGCTGCAGCGCATTTCAGTCTGCTCTGGAAAGACCCACAGACTCCTCGGCCCAGAGAGCCTCCATGTGTGGCCCCGTGAGCCACGTGAAAGGCCCCCCTCGGGGGGCGGGGCGGTCCCCTCTCTGCGTCTGGGATCCTGGACGACGGGGCTGACCGCGGCCGCCCCCGCCGCAGGTCCCCCGTGAGGGAGCTTCATGCGCCCGAGGGGACGTGCCTTCTGCCACGCCCGTGGCCAGGGGAGAAGGGCCCGCCCTGAGGGGAGGTGCTCATCCTGTGAGCCCGAGCCGGGACCAGAGCGCCCCCTGGCGCGCAGCCCCGCTCACACCTGTCCACTGCAGAAGCAGCGGGACGAGGCTCTCCCCGCTGTTTCCGCAGGAGAAAGTCTAGATGTTGTGACACACATGAACGTCGGGCTTCCTCAGTAGAAGAGCTGCCATGCACGAGGCAATACACTTCCCTGACCGATGCACGACACAGAGGCTTCCCCAGGCTCTTGGGTTCCGTCCCGGACGACGGAAGCGGAGGGCCGAGAGGAAGGCGCTCTCTTTCAGGCGGCGCCCCGGGGACGTGCCAAGGCCTCGCGGCACCGGCCCTGCCCGCTGAGCCGCCCGGGCCCACAAGGCAACGGCCGGTTCCTCGGAGCTGAGACAGACGCGTGGCGGCCCTCAGGGAAGGCACCTGAGGCGGGAGCAAGACGCAGGCCTCGCGGCGCCCTCGGGCCCACACGGCCGGTGTGAGGCGAGGCTTCACCCCCCGGCCCCCAGGGGACAGGAGAGAAGGCGGGACCACGCTACCTCACGGGCCGCGTAGGTGTACAGCACTTTGCCTTGGATGACGAACCAGAGCTTCTTCCACTGCCTCTTGCCCTTCTTACACCGGCTGAGGTAGCCGCTGATGGCGGAGCCCTCTCCCGAGGCGGCCACCTGGCGGAGGGAAGGAAGCGGGGCGGTCAAGGTTCCCGGGGCGGAAGGACACGCTTCCGACGGAGCCAAAACGGCGCTGCCAAGCGGCCGGCGGGGCGTCCGTGCCGCTCTGGAGTCGGGGCGCTTGGGTGCATCCGGCCCTCAAAGGCCGCACGACAGGACCGGGTTTGAGACAGGATTGTCTGAAGGGACCCGAGACGCGGGAATCGACAGCTGCCTGCAGGAGTGCTGCCCTCTGGCGGTGAGTCAGATTCCTGGTTCTCGCCTCCTCAAGACCCCAAGTCTCAAAACTGCAGGTATCTATCTGGGTGAAAGTTTCTTCCTCATAAAATTGATTCTTACGCTTTTCAACTTACTTTTTTCTTAAATTTTAAGAGGGGGTCCTTTCTTTTTTTAATTGTTTCCCTAAAAGGTTGTATGGTCTGCCTAGTGAGTTTGTTAACTCCTGTTAGTAGTATCAGGGCGTCCCTGGTGGCTTAGAGGGTAAAGCGTCTGCCTGCAGTGCGGGAGACCCGGGCTTGATCCCTGGGTTGGGAAGATCCCCTAGAGAAGGAAATGGCCACCCACTCCAGTACTCTTGTCTGGAGAATCCCTCGGACGGAGGAGCCTGGCAGGCTACAATCCATGGAGTCACAAAGTGTGGACACGACTGAGCGACTTCGCTTTCTTTTAGTAGTATCAATGGCGTGGTCTTCTGAACAAGCCTCTCACAGGGGCTAAGATCACAGGCCTGGAGTAAGACCCATCTCGGGTTCCAACACAGACTCTAGTGGCCACCAGAGGGGTGATGTGAGACCACTTACTTCCTCTAGGTCTCAGCATCCTGACTAGGTAAAACTGGAATCAAATGACGTCAGTGCCTGACCCACAGGTAAGTGCTCCATAAACCTTCACCTTAATACAACAGCAAGAAGGCTGGGTTATGCAATAATTTCATCTGACTTTCTCAGTTCACAGGTGGGGAAACTGAGGCCCAGAGGAACTGGGGGCGGCGGGGGGGGGCGGTTATCTACCAAAGGTGAAATCCCGACTTAGTTGAAGAGAGGGCGAGAACTCAAGAGCTCTCGGCAAATGTTCTCGAGGTCAGACAACTCCAGTGTAAGGGAGATGAAGCTACAGCCTGCCAGGTGTTTTGAAAAGTGCTGGGAAAGGAACCTGCCCCTCGGGTTCCCAGGACCCCCCTAACTCAGACACGCCTCCTCTCCCCACACCTGACCTGCCGGAGCAGCTCCCAGAGTCTGCGATCTGCCCCCCATCAGATGCTCCCAGAGCAGCACTCCTGCAGACCTTCCCCTGGGAAGCAGGTCTCAATGCCTGGGTGGGGCTCCTGGGGGCGAGGGAGAGGGTGGCGGGAGATGGGGGCACATTTCTCCCGGGCTGCTGCGGAGCCCACGGTGTAGTCCTTGTTGAGTAATAAAAAGGTTGTCACTTTGGGCAAAACCTGTCAACATGGCTTGGGGCAGGTCCACACAGCACCTGGATCACGGTGGCCTAATGTCTGAAAGGTGAGAACAGTGGTTCTCAAACTCTGTACCCATGGCACACTCAGGTTCCGTGAGTTCAGCTCATGTCAACACAACTGTGGGAGTGAGAGGGCGGTCTTTACTCAATTTGTGCGAGGGGACTAGTTAAATGACGAGACAGCCATACAGTGTAAGAAGTGTGAGGTTTATGTGGACAAACTAATGTGAAATAAAAATATCAAAGATAAATGCAAGAAGTGTATAGAAGATTCAGAGTATCATCTTTTGAGTTAAAAAAAGGATCTATGATCGTCTCTCTTTATTATGTATATGCATAAATATTTTTGGAAGGATCCATAAGAAATCTGATGGCAGTTAGCTTTAAGGGGTGGAACTGAAGGATTCTGGGGAGGGAGAGAAACTCAATTCCCATCACATATTCTTCTGTGTTTTTGAAAAAAAATTCGTTACGTGTTACTTCCAAGATTTTTAAGATGCAAAAGGAATTAAGCTAATGGATAGAACCATACTCACTTAAAAATTTCATCCCTAACACTTTTTGAACCCTTGCCACCTGCTATTCAATAATGAATATTTCAAAATACTTGGTAACAGCTGCTCACGCTTCTTTTGACAGGTTGTATATTCACGGGCACACATTTGTTTGTGGCTATGATTAGAATATAGTCAATTTAAAAAAAAAAGAATACAGTCAATAATCTGGTTCTGTCTGCAGAAAGGAATTGAGTTGGGCTAATTCTGAGGCTTCCTGCAAACAGTCCTACGGCCTTGAGGAGGCTCACCGCCTGAGCCTGTGTGGGATCCCTAGGATGAGACAGGGATGCGGCCTGAGGGGCCAGACTCGGGAGGGCTGAGCCAGGCCGAGTGGCTTTAGACCCAAGTGCTGCAGCGCTGTGTGCACCTGGAGATGAGTCTAGGCTGGGGAGGGGGGTGGGGGGCGATGTGTCTCCCCGCACCTCCGACAGCTACTCTGGCTCCTGTTCTCTGCCACCGGCGGGGGTCTTCTTGGCCATGCCCGGGAGACAGCCTAGCCTGTGCTTCAGGGCGGCCTTTGTGAGCACGAGCCAGAATGCCCCCTGTGAGGGATGCTCTCTAACGTGTCTGCAAGAGCCTGGTCCGGCTGGGGCGGGGGTCTGAGAACCCAGAACCTTCTAAATCCCCCTGGCCCCCAGGCAGGCAGCCCTATACCCGCCTCACCTCGGTCAGGGCCGATGGGACTTTCCTCTGCTTCCTGAAGGCCGAGGGGTTGATGCTGTGGAAGACGGACGAGAAGGCGCTGCTCGAGAAGCGGGCGGAGGAGAGGGGGAAGCTCATGCTCAGGGGCCGCTCTGCAGCGAGACAAGCCGCGGGGAGGGAGGTGAGTGCCTGCGTCCTCAGCGGGGGACACAGGCGCCTCCAAGACCTGAGCTCCCGGCCCTCCCGAGACGGCACCCGGCCATGAGGGGTAGGGTGGGGTGGGGTGGGGGTTCCGTGTGACCCAAGAGAAGGGGCGGCCCCCTGCTAACACAGAGCTGGAGTGGGGGCGGGCTCTCCCGCTGCTGGCTATCCCTCTTCCCCGAGTCTGCTGAGGCTGGGCAGTCCTCTCCATGCCCCAGGCAGCCCTGGGGTGGGGGTGACCGAGGGGAGTCTCTGGTTTCAGGCCCAAGATCCAACCTGCTCCCCCTCGAGCCGACCCTGAGCACGGGCGCCCACAGGCCCTCTCAGCCGCCTCGAGCTCTGCTATTCAGGACTCTCAGCCCCTTCCCCGACCACAATGCCTCTGGTCTCCATCTCGCCATCCTCATTCCAAGAGGGCCCCAGGGGACCCAGGCCTGAAAATAGGGCCGCTGTGCAGAGCAACATGAGTGCCTGCCTACTGGCCTCATCAAGGAGATGCATGGACCCAGCGTGCTGTGTTCCAGACACGTGTCCCAGACACATGGACCGAGACACATGTCCCAGATGACCCAGACACATGTCCCAGACAGGTGTCCCAGACATATGAACCCAGACAGACACATGACTCAAACACATGGACCCAGACATGTGACTGACTCATGTCGCAGATACATGTCCCTGACATAGGAACCCAGACACATGACCCAGACACATGGGCCCAGATGCATGTCCCAGACACATGTCCCACATGACCCAGACACATGGACCCAGACACGTGACCCAGACACATGTCCCAGACTCAGCTGCTCTGGGACCCTTCCTCTGGGGGTGCCTCTGGATTTTCTACAGAACCAACGGTGGGGGAAAAGGTGCCCCAGAAGGCGGTTTAAACCCTGTCTCCTCCTGGAGGGCAGCATTTTGTCCGCAGCCCCCCGGGGAAAGCGGCTGGGAGAAGCCATGTGGGGAAGAAGGGGACAGTGGTCCTCGGTACCTCTCATCAGGCCTGGGGCGTCCCCGCCCCTCTTCTTCAGCTCCCCGTAGCAGCCGTCACACACCTTGGCCATGCGGTCCTTGAGGTACTTCAGAGGGTACTTGTTCCGAGAGCAGTTCCGGCAGACGATCTAGGGGGGACGGGGGGCCCGCGGGTCACAGGGTCTCACCCCCTGGCCAAAGCAGAGGACCATGTCCAACCCCTCCAACCCGCCCCCGCCTCCTTGTGGGCCCCGTGCTCCGAGCAGAGTTATTATGCTCCTCTGCAGGTGCTTCTGTTTTTCTTTTTAAAAAATTATAGAAAATTATAAAATAGTATACAAAAATTATAGAAGTGATTTCTTGTCTTATGCTTGTGCCCAGTCATGTCCAACTCTTTGCAACCCCATGGACTGCAGCCCACCAGGATCCTCTGTCCATGGGATTTTTCAGGCAAGAATACTGGAGTGGGTTGCCACTTCCTCCTCCAGGGGATCCTCCTGACCCAGGGATTAAACCCGCGTCTCCTGTGTCTCTTGCATGCAGGCGGATTCTTTATCCACTGAGCCATCCAGGAAGCCCAACAGAAGTAATATATAACATTACATTATTAATAGTTGCAGATATACAATGCAGTGATTCAATACATGTAATATAGTTGGCTCTCCATGTCTGCGGGTTCCACTTCCACAGATTCAACCCATGGTGGATCGAAAAGATTTTTAAAAATTCCACAAAGTTTCAAAAGCAAAATGTGAATTTGTCATGTGCTGCCAACTATTTGCATGGAATTTTCACTGTATTTATAACTATTTACACAGCACTGGTAGCTCAGCTGGAAAAGAATCCGCCTGCAATGCGGGAGACCTGGGTTCTATACCTGGGTTGGGAAGATCCCCTGGAAAAGGGAACACCTACCCACTCCAGTATTCCTTGCCTGGAGAATTCCATGGACAGAGGAACCTGGCGGGCTACAGTCCAGGGGGTCACAAAAGAGTCAGACATGACTGAGCGACTCTCACTTTTCACACAGCACTTCTATTTTATTAGGTATTATAAGCGATCTAGAGATGATCTGAAGTATGCTGGAGGATGTGTGTAGGTCAGGTGCAAATGTTACACTGTTTTATTAAAGGATGTGAGCATCCTTGGATTTTGGTATCCACGGGGACCCTAGGATCCTAGAATCAAGTCTAAATCAAGAGACTTAGAATCAAGTCTCCCATGGATATCGAGGGATATCCTAGACACCACAATGTCTAGTTAGCATCCATCACCACACATAGTTTACAAGGTTTTTTTCCTGCAATAAGAACTTTATAAAGATCTACTCTCTTGGCAGCTTTCGCATATACAATGCAGTTTTTAAAATTAATTAGTTTTTATTTAGCTGCACTGGGTCTTAGTTGTGGGATCTAGTTCCCTGACCAGAGACTGAATCCTGTCCCCTGCATGGGAGCATGGACTCTTAGCGAGAGGACCACCAGGGGTGTCTCTACAATACAGTTTTGCTGATTATCATTACCAAGCCATGGCTTTCTGTTTTCTGATGAGCCTGCGCCCTTAACTAAGACTGGCTGCTCTTCCTCCCGGGACAACAACCCCATCCGCTACCATTTCCTTCGGGGAGCGAGGCGGTGGAGTGGAAGGGGTCTGGGGTTTGGAGCCCTGGTGGAAGGGCACGCCCCAGCCTGGGCCCGACCTGCAGCAGTTGCTGGACACCCCCTCCCCCCGCCCCGGGTCCCCAGCCCCGCGCACACGTCTCCGTGACTCACCTTGCCGCAGGCGTGGCAGTGGTGACGCCTCAGGGTGAGGGAGAAATCGCAGCCGCAGTTCATGCACATCATGACGTGCGTGACTGGCACGAGGGTCGGGGGCCTCTCCCCCAGGCTGACCCCCAGCCTCTCCCGTATCTGGAGCAACGGAGTCAGGCAGGCAGCGGGGTCAGGAGACCAGCTGGGCCGGAGCCCCCCTTCCTGTAGCGGGGGTGTGTGTGTGTGTACAGGAGGAGCGGGCTGTACTCCACTCTACAGCGCCCCCACCCCCCACCCCCCAGCCTCCAGGGCGCCGACCTTGGTTAGAAACGGGGCCGGAGGTGCCAGGCTCTGGGCGGCACGGGGACCGCCCTGAGCCGGGCGCGGGGAGGATGCGGTGGTGCCCTGGTGGGAGGAGATGCCCGTCCTCGCGGGCGCGTGGGGGCGCAGGGAGGCCCGCTCACCTCCACGCTGTGCTGGAAGGCAGCCAGCGCCTGGGCCTTGTAGTCCTCGGGCAGGGCCCGGCTCACGCAGCTGTGCCACTCGTCCCTCTCTGCGCAGGAGCTGCGAGCACAAGCCGGAGTGAGTGAGGGTGCGCCCTCTCGGGGTGGACGACGTCCCGCGGCCCCCGCCGGGCCCCCCACCCCCAACACCTGAAACCCCAGCCCGGCCACCAGCCAGACTTGCACGGCGGCACGTCTGCTTCCAGGCGGGCGGCCTCGATTGTCAGGTGTCTCTGGGCCTGGCCTGTAAACGTGGGGACATCAAACACTCCTCCTCTAACTCCCAGGGCGGCCGCGGGGACTGGCTGACACGTGGCGGGTGGAGGACTCTGCTGATGGCACAGTCCTGTGCAGAAGCAAGGGTCCCACACTCCCGGAGGGTCCCACACTCCTGGAGGGGTGTGCTGACGGTGGGCAGAGCCAGGTACCACTGGGGGGGGGGTCAGTGCACAGATGCTGGCCACGGTCACGATCCCGTTCTCCCTGCCTTCCTCCTCAGTTTCCCACAGGCCCTCACACATTCACTCATTCAGAGCGCAGACATCCCACCTTCCCCTCCAGGCCTGGCAGGATCTCCTGAGAGGTGATGCCCCCAGCAGCCACCTGGTGGAAATTCTCATGGAGACCACTAGGTGTCGCTCTGACCCCGCCGCCGTGCCTAGAGCAGCTCCTGGCAGGAGCCCCCTTTCTGGTTTCTGAGCCCCCCTGAGCCCCTATCCCAGCTCCAGCTGGTCTTGTCCTGGAAGAGGGCGGGGGGACTCTTTCTTTGCCAGAAACCAACAAAACCGGGACCCTGGGGCAGAGCCTGAGGGCCTGGGAAAAAATAGCCATCTCTGATAGAAAGGCCTCACCCCCGCAAAAGTAAAAGGGAAAATAAATTGATGAATGCTCACCCCTGGTGTCCCTTTCATTCTCCAGACCTGGCAGCCTAAACACAGACTATTTTATGAGCTAAGGTGCGCCATGCACTTTTCACTGGCTTTAACCTTTCTTACTGCTGCAAAGACCCAATGATCCGTAGGGTTTTACACCAAGGAGATACTGTTATATTTAAGCAATGGGCTCTGGAAACCCCTGAGATTCCATGTAAAATTTTATGTGTATGCTCATGTTTTCTGGGGAGAGAAGCCATGGTTTTATCAGATTTGTCACATGACTGTCCAAAATCGGACAAAAAATAACAGAACAAAAGTCATTTACCCAAAAGAACACCAAAATAAAAATGACAACATATTCAGTGTCTGCGACTCCAAACTTTCCCACCTGAAAAACCTGCCCCCCAACCCCCCGTCCTTCGTCTCCTTGTACCTGGCCGATAGAGTCAGGCAGGACTCGGGAGTCTCGATCTTCAGGGCGTAGGGCACTTTCTCCATCACAGGGCGGCTGACCTGGGAAGCGGGAGCGGCCCCTCAGGATGGGCATGGGAGGGGTCCCGCCACCGCCCAACTCTAGGCCTGAGCTTCCTCACTGCGGAGGGCAAACCTTTCTCACCTGGAAGATGGGTGTGTGTCTGTGTGTGTGCACGTGTGTTTGTGTCTCTGTGTGCGTGTGTGCACAGTGGGAGCCCCACTGCTGGCTCTGACTCTGGGGCCACCCGCTGACCCCCAGGAAGGCATCCTTCTCAGAGCCCACTGTGCTGGACAAGCACCTGCCCAGTGGGCACCCTCCCCCATGGCCTCTGCCGGACTCCTGAGCGGACGGACGCTTTGGTCCAAAAAGGGAAGACACCTCCCAGGTTAGTGAGGTCGCCCTTCTCCAGGTTGGGAGCCTCAAGGGGGAGACAGCCCCCTGCAGGCCCCCTTCAGCTCTTCCTCCCTCCCAGTCCTCCGCCCTCCCAAGTGACAGTCCGCGCGTACCCCATTCCCCACTTCAGTGCTCCCCTCTCTGACCCCGTCCCCATGATGGGCGGGAATTACCTTCCTAAAACTCCCTGCTCATCGAAAATCCCCATCAGCCCCAACCAGCCCCGTATCTGGGACCCCGGTCACACTGAGTGAGGTCACAGCTGACCCGGTCACCGTCCTGTCTCTCCAAGCTCACCCATGAGACCGTCCAGCTGAGCCGGCCTCTCTTAAGAAACAGCTGCCGCTTGAACAGGCCTTTGCACGCTCGCGTACATTACTCACAGCAGCCAAAAGCTGGAGGCCACTCTAGTGTCCACGGATGGACGATGGGCACACAACGTGTGGTCTAGCCTACACCCACGATGGAGCACTGTTCAGCCTTAAAAAGGAAGGAGATTCTGACACCTGCTACCGCATGGATGAACCCTGAGGCTGCTACGCTAAGGGAAGTAAGCCAGTCACAGAAGGACAAGCATCGCCCAGGAGTCCACTTATGCGAGGTCCCCAGGGGTGCTGAGTTCATAGGGACAAAGAGCAGAATGGTAGTTGCCAACGCCTGGGGGAGGAGAGAGGGGGAATGAAAGCATTTAAGGGCACAGAGCTCCAGACTGGAAAGATGAAGAGAGTGCTGCGGATGGCTGGCACGACGGTAGTTTAACAACATGAACGCACTCGACGTGAATGCCGTCCAGTTGTACGCTTAAAACATGGTTCCAACGGTAAATGTACATTACGTGTATTTCACCACGATCGACAAACGCCTGCTTGCTTCCTCTCTCTGCATTCTCCTCCCGCCAGGACCCCTTTCCTTGTCCTCCTTCTGCGTTCACCCAAACATCACCCACTCCGGGCAGCCCTCCCTCACCCCCACTCTCCCTGAGGTCCCGACAACAGAATCCTAGGGCAACTCACAAGCCGGGGTCCTCCTCGTCCGCGGGCTGTGAGTTCCACAGGGGGGCTGTGTCTCCTCGTCCCCAGGGCCCCCGCCGCTGCCCCCAGGACCCCCGCCCCAGGGTCTTACCTTCATGTTGGCCACCGCCAACGCGCTCTTCAGCCGGTACTTCCCGTCCTTCTGGGGGTACGTGTAAAGCAGCACATCGCTCATCTGGGGAGAGGGGACCCCGTCAGACATCTCTTGGGTCCAGAAAGCCTGTGCTGGGCGTGTCTGGGAGCGTCACCGAGCACAAGCATCTCGCATCCCCAGGGACCAGGGGAGCAAGGGCACTCTGGGCTGAAACAGGAGAGCCCTCCTCCCCAATTTCACACGGACATGGACGAGCAAACGCACATATGCCCACAGCAAGTCCGGCACGGGGTGTCGGTACGAGGCTTATCCAACACTGCCCCAAAGGGAGACAACCCAAACATCTATCGGCGGGTGTCAGGACACGGCAACGGCAGTACATTCACAGCTCGCAGCCACACAGCAACCAGCGGGCAGACAGACACGTGCCTGACGACAGGGCTCAACCTCCAACACACGCCAGCGAGAAGAAGCCGGACTGCGGAGTCCACGCTGCTTCACAACATGGATATGAAGCTCCAGAACAGCTAATTTGCACTGGTGGCAGAAAGGGCAGTGGGTGCCTGGGGGACAGTGAGGGGAGGTGCCCCGGGGAGCTTCCGGGGGGCTGGATATGCTCTGTATCTTGACCCAAGTGGTGGTCACATGACGATATGAGTTGTCGACAGACCCCGACATGTACACTCAAAACTGATACATTGAACCCTCTCTCAAGTCAGCCTCTAACTAGCAGAGTTAAGGAAGGGAGGGAGGGAAGAGCAAGATTTTTGGGGACAGGGAGCCGGCGGGTCCTGTTCACTGCAAGTTAGACAGTCACGGCCGACTCTCTGTGACCCCATGAACTGTAGCCTGCCAGGCTCCTCTGTCCACGGGATTCTCCAGGCAAGAATACTGGAGTGGGTTGTCATTTCCTCCTCCAGGGGATCTTCCCCACCCAGGGATGGAACCCGGGTCTCTTGCATTGCAGGAAGATGTCTAGAGCCTTTACTGTCTACAGCCTCCAGGGAAGCCCGTTCACTGCTGCACCTCCAGCAACAGAGCTGATGCTCAATTAAGGTTTGTTGAACGAACATCTGAAGCTTGCCGCCCCGACGCAGGGCAGACATGCAGAAACTTAAGCCACTCTGCTTTCAGAGTTTCTAAACGCGCAGCGTGAAGAGCCGATGGCGTCCTCCAGGTGGTGCTGTGGGCCGTCCGTCCCGACCTTGCTCTGCAGGAGCTGAGCGAGATAAGCTGTCTCGCTCCCTGGGGCCTCAGCCACCCCACCCGCCAAGGGGGGGACACCCCACCTCCACTTCACTACAAGCATAGAGGGAGAGTGGCCCCGGGGAGGCCCCATGCGTGGGAGCCAAAGCGGATCAGGAAGATGGGGTCTGTAGGGGGACAGGGAACTCAGGCTCCACGCTGCTCTCCCCGCAGGTGGCGTCTGCAGAGGGGGCGGGATGGGCGAGTGTTCCTGCCACCGGCTCCCCTGGCGCCTGTGGGACTGGCATGGGCACTGAGCCGCGGTGTGGCCTCAGGCAAGCCCTCCCTCTCTCTGGGCCTCACTGTCTGAACAGAGTTGGAACAGACCAGGGCCGGCAAACTGTTTCGTAAAGGGCCAGATAGTCACGTACAGATGGGAGAGCTGGACCGTAAAGAAGGCTGAACACTGAAGAGTTGATGCTTTCAAACTGTCTTGAGAGTCCCTTGGACTGCCAGGAGATCAAACCAGTCCATCCTAAAGGAAACGAACACTGAATATTCATTGGAAGGACTGATGCTGAAGCTGAAGCTCCAATCCTTTGGCCACCTGATTCGAAGAAATGACTCATCGGAAAAGACCCTGATGCTGGGAAAGATTGAAGGCAGGAGGAGAAGGGGGTGACAGAGGATGAGATGGTTGGACGGCATCATCGACTCAATGGACATGAGTTTGTGCAAATTCTGGGAGATCGCGAAGGACAGGGAAGCCTGGCATGCTGCAGTCCATGGCGTTGCAAAGAGTCAGACCCAGCTGAGCAACTGAACAACAAAGAGAGTAAATATTTCAGTCTTTGTAGGCCAGATGGTCTCTGCTTCAACTGCCTGACTCAGCTGTTGTGTCCCAAAAGCAGGCACCAGCGACACTCAAGGAAGAACGCGTGAGGCTGCACTCCCAGAGACCTCTCTGAACAAAACAGGCGGCCGGCCGACCCCTGGGCCAGGGGAAGCTTCCAAGCCCTGTCCAGTTCTGTTCTTCTAACACTGACGAGAACCGCTGGCCAGGCCAGGCGCTGGGCTGAGCCCCTGGCAGAGATGATCTCAATTCGGCCCCCACCGTCCCCTCAGGCAGGCGCAGAGGGGGAACCGAGCCACAGACGGGCTAGACCCCCCTCCCAGGTCTACAGAGCTCATCCGTGGAGGGATCGGGATCAGGAGTGAGTGAAGGTGCCTCCAGGGTGGTGTGCTTGGGGGTGGCCACACCCCGCCCACCCCCGGGGAACCCGCCCGTGTCACCATGGTGACCCCGCCTTTCCGCGGCTGCCCCTGGAGCCACTGCTGCCATGGCAACGCCACTAGCACCCAGGGCTCTGTGAGTGGTCCAGGACCACACGGCCTCCCTGCACGGCAGCGCCAGCCTGCCAGAGTGAGGGCTTCTCAGGGGAGGTGACAGGCGGTGGGGAGGACGAAGCAGGGGGAGAAGAGCCTCTGGTCTCTATACGGAGCCGAGTGACCGCCGAGGCCGGGCCAAGGCCCCGGGGCACAGGCCACAGAGGCTCAGCAAACCCTGGCAGCCGCCCGCGGACAAGATGCTCCCAGCCAGGCTCGTGATTCCCCCGCTCAGGACCGCGAGGCCAATCTGGAATTCAGACCCCTCCAGCTGGCAGGGTCTATCCGAGGTCCGTTGGAGACCACCCCACCTGCCGCCAGCCCTGCGAGCAAAAGCGCCCATCTGCTCTCGTGACTCCACCAGGCCAACAGAGGTTTTCCAGACACAGCGTGCTCCTCACGCCTCCACCCTTTGCTTCTGCTGTTCCTGCTCCTGAAAAGCCCTTCCTTCACCTGCCAGACAAAACTCCAATCCTTCCTTCCGAACTTAACGCGGGTACAGTTTTCCCCAGGAAAAAAAAAACACACAAAACACTCAACATAGGGCAGAGCAGCCGGTGAACACTCAACAAACACCAGCTGCCACCATGCCGTCCACCTTCCTATTCCCCGCCTCTCCTGGGTCCCCCTCTTTCCTTCCAGACACCCCCCTGCCCTCGAAATTCTGCCCGAACTACTCTCATAGCTCAATCTTTACCCCGGACACTGCAGGCTGAGGGCAGAGAAGGGACTCTTAGCTATTGGGTTCCAGCACCCAGCAGACAGGAGGTGCTTCAACAGAGAGAACTCCTACCCACTGACTCACAGCCTCTCCACTTTTACTTTGCACACAATTCTGACAAAGTGTAAGGAGGCTGTAACGGCAGGCTCAACTGATAGACCAAAACTGACAGTGAACGGTGAAGGAGCAGAGGGAAAAATTACTTCTGGCAGAGAGAAGAACCTAACAGGCAAACCCCTTGGGGGTCTCAGGACTGGGGCCAAGAGCTGCCTACAGCTCGGCATCCACTGCCATTGCTCAGTCGCTCAGTTGTGTCTAACTCTGTGACCCCACGGACTGCAGCGCGCCGGGCCTCCCTGTCCATCACCGCCTCCCGGAGCCTGCTCAAACTCATGTCCATCGAGCTGGTGATGCCATCCAGCCATCTCATCCTCTGCCGTCCCCTTCTCCTCCTGCCCTCAGTCTTTCCCAGCATCAGGGTCTTTTCCAGTGAGTTGGTACTCCCCCCACCCCCCAGGCCTGGACGTGCCCTGGTGGTCCAGACTGGGCCGGGAAACCATCCAGGACGCCCCTCTGGCCCGTCCTGCGCAGAGTGCAGACAGGGCCGGGCCCAGGTCAGAGCCCCGGCTTCCTTCGGGCCTCCGCCCCCGACCTGCTGGGAGGGCCGGCCAGGTCAACTCTTATTTCTGGGTCTCTGGTGGCTCCCATGTCAGATAAGGCAGCTGAACAGTCACTCCCAGTTTAAGACCCTCCTGGTTTTGGGATGGGCACATGAATAATGACATTACATGTGTCAACATTCCCCTGAAATCAAGTAATCCACGAGGGAGAGGCTAGAAAGCCCTCGGCTTTCGGGGACGCCTGTCTCCTCTGGACGGTCCTCGCCCTTGGCTCTGGTCTCCACGGCCTTCCTGCCGTCCTCGGGTAACGGCCCCCAAACGCTTCACAGGACCCGCAGCCCGGGCTTCACCAGGGGCTGGGTACTCACCAGAAACAGGTGCCGGGGGCGTCTGTTCTTCCCTGTTACTTTCATCAGCGTCCCTTCCTTCAGAAACTCCTGTGAGCAGAGCAGCAGACCCCGGTGGTCAGGTTGATACCCCCCGCTCTGTCCTGGAGAAGGCTGGGCGGAGGCCCTTCAGTGGGAAACCAATTGCGGTGCCTCCCGGAGCTCGGGAGAGTGGCTCATGGCAGACGCCCCTGCGCAGAAGCCGTGCTCCACGCTTGGTGGGGCAGCCCGGGAGACAGGCCGTTCGGGAGCACCCTCTTTGAACCACACCAACCCAGACAGCGTGCCAGCCACAGAGTGGTCCCAACAGTGACTCGGTCCCTAGTTTGCTGCCACGGGCGTCCAAGGAGAACAGAGCCTCTGAGACACCAGTTTGCTAAAGAGGCTGAAGACCTGGGAACAGTTGCGACAGCCCCCTCAATTCTGGAGGCTACAAACCGATGTCTAATACGTAGTCACTAAACTGAGGACTCCTGCCAAAACACTAGGTGGGATTTTACACCTAAGTACCATCTCTCCTTGGTTTCTTGTCCTTCATGGACTGGAATAGGTCATGAACACATTTTTTTTACTGCTCTTGAGCTGAGTTTTGTGTTTTCCATTTGGAAGCTTAAAAGTGGGTAAATCTGTCTTTTAAAAAAATGTTGGGGTTCCTAAGAGATGGTTTCCCAGATTTCCCAGCAACTGGACTAAACTGAGGATGCCAGTGTCTCTTCTTCTGAGAGGCACATGGAACCCCAATGGCACTGCTTTTTAAAGGCCCCGAGAGCAGAAAGCCCTAGGGGAGACAGCCAGGGGCCTGCGGAGCCCAGCAGAGCCCTTGCCCTCCCCCCCCTGCCCTCCCCCCGCCCCCATCCCTCCCTGCCTATGGGCACCTGCGGCCAGGCCTGTCTGGGGCCAGCCCGGCTGAACAATGGGGCTTATCAGGGCCTCGCCCACCTGCCTGCCGGCGCCCTCCTTGATGGAGGCACTCACCCTTCCTGGCTGGAGGAGATCCCCTTGGCCCCGAACACTGTGCTCGATGTGGACCAGCTTCTGAAGGTTTTCCTGCGGGCGGGAGTAGGGCGAGGGGGAGATGGTCAGGGCCCCTCATCCCCTCTTTAAGGAGCGGCCCTGCTTCCACTGCGGAGGAGGAAACGCAGTCCTGGAGGGACCTGCTCCCAGTTCGACTTCCTGTCGCTGGTGGGAGCGGGAGCAGAGCCTGGGTCCGCAGGATGCCACCTGTGTGGACTCCCGGCAATCCGCCTAGTCCCTGCGGGCCTGGGGTGTGACCCCGCCCTCTGTCTGCACGCCATGGAGGTGGTCACTTGGCCTCAGTGTGCCGTCCGATATCTGTTTATCTGGGGGCCACTGCTCCTACTCTAGCCTGTGTCCCCCGTAACACCTGAAGCATCCAGATCGCAATAACCCACAAGGGACAGAAGCCTCAGGCCAGACTGGCTCTGTGGGCTTAAAGCCTTTGGTGGAGAGCTGGGTTACTGAGACAGAGTGACCGAGAAAACGCAGCCCCTGCGGAAGAAATGCTCTGGGCTCCCTGAAGAAACACGTGTGCCCAGAAGCTCACTGGGAATTCACAACATGTACTGGGTACTGGGCCCCTCCCCTGTCACAGTGGCCGGGAGTACTGGAAGGGCAGATGACCCTGAACCTCACGCAGGGTTGGGTTTAAAGTCAACGAACACGGTGAAAACTGTGTGCAGACAAAATGCCTTGAAAAGGCCTCGACACTGTCCCCAGTTCAGTTTAGTCACTCAGTAGTGTCCGACTCTTTGAGACCCCAGAGACTGCAGCATGCCAGGCTTCCCTGTCCTTCACCATCTCCCAGAGTTTGCACAAACTCATGCTTGAGTCGATGATACCACCCAACCATCTCATGCTCTGTCACCCCTTCTCCTCCTTCCTTCAATCTTTCGTAGCATCAGGCTCAGTTTAGGGCATAAAATCCTACCCATCAGAAAACGTGTACAAGTTATTCTACCTCTGGTTATGACTTAGGAGCTGCAAGGAAACAATGCCCCCACCCTAACAGGGAGAAAAAAAAAGAATCACATCATCTACAAAAGCAGAGTTCTGCTTATGTTTATTGGAGAGCTGGGGTCCCCAGGACCCCACCGAGGACACGAGATGAATGAGTTATCGTGCCTCTGGCAACACACAGGGAGGAGGTGGTCGGCATAAAGGTTGAGAAGAAAGCAGCTAAAATGTTAATGGCTTCTTAAAGGTCAGGTGTGGGCCGCTGGGACGGTTTTAGAATACAGGGAGCCCCACGGGGCACGTGGAACCCCTTGCAAGCTCTTTCCAGGAATTTCTGCCCGGTGCTTACAAGGAAGAGTGGGAGCAGAGAATCCCCTCTTGGTGCCGGAGGGGTGCAGGCTGCCAACTGTGGGGCTGGCACGAAACCCAGCCCACTTCCCCAGGGCCCCCTCTGCTATGAAAGCCTCCACCACTGCGGGAGGTGGGGCAACCCTCCCACTCCCCGGCCCTGGGGCAAAGAGCCCACGGCTTCCGAGGCAAGGGCAGAAGCAGCAAGAGGTGCCGGTCCCAAGAAGAGGCGGGTGACGTCTCAGGTGCAGGACCACGTGCCAACACAAAGCAGAAACCTGCCCAAGACCCGCCACTGACACACAGCGGACGCGGCCTGCCCGTGACGGAGGGGCAGGAGCGTGGAGAGAGAGCCGGGCTCACAGGGCCTCCTCAAGACCGAGGCTTGTCCGCGGGGGCCGCGACCCACGAGCCCTGCGCACCAGGACGCAGTGGTCTATCCCCGAGGAGGTGAAGGGCGCAGAGGCCCCTCCCGTGCCGCAGAGACTGCAAAAAGCTGAAGACACAGCAGGGAAAGCCCCTGGACCCTCGGGTCCCACAGAGAGCAGCAAGTGACAGCAGCCACCTTCTGGGCCAGCATGAAGTCTGCGGGGGTCCGAAGGCGACTGACGACAAAACCTAAACCCAGCTCAACCACTGACTGCGCCGATTCAGTTCTCGTCCTCGACGTGAATGGCATGAGTAGAAAGAGAAACATGCCCACTTTTAAAGGCAGATACTATTCCCCTCAGAGTCTACAGATCTTCTGCACATAGCTGCTGTTCAATTAGATACGGGAAAAACAAGAAGCAAGGAAGTGCCCTAACCCATTGTCAAGACATAGAGTGTTCCAGAAAACCAGAACGTGAGGTGACACAGACGTTGCAGCCATCAGACAGGGACAAACAATAACTGTGATTGACTATGGTAAACGAGCCACTGGAAGAGACAGACAGCATGCAAGAACAGGGGGAGTTTCAGGAGAGACGGAAACAAACAAGAGGTGGAAACGTGAACAGAAGAAATGTGCCATCAGAAATGAAGAATTCCCATGACAAGCTCGGCAGCAAACCGAACACAGCTCAGGAAAGAATGAATGAACTTGGGGAGGGCTTCCCTTGTGGCTCAGCTGGTAAAGAATCTGCCTGCCAAGTGGGAGACCTGGGTTTGATCCCTGGGTTGGGTCGATCCCCTGGAGGAGGGCATGGCTACCCACTCCAGTATTCTGGCCTGGAGAATCCAATGGACTGTATAGTCCATGGGGTCGCAAAGAGTCGGACAAGACTGAGCAACTTTCACTTTCACTTTCTTTTCAAGCTGAGATTCACCACACTGAAACAAAAAGAGAAAATAAGAGTGCAGCGTGGGGGGCAGAGGAAAGAACAGAGCACCCAAGAAAATTTTCCAACATTAACGGATAAAAAGCACATCCAGGAAGCTTGAGAATCGCAACAGGATAAATGCCACGACCTCTCCAAAACACACATATTTAGACATCATAGTCAAACTTCTTAAAGTCAAGGGTAAAGAGGAGATCTTGAAGGCAGCCAGTAAGAACAGGATCCATCACACAAAGAGGGTAAATATAAACACTGCAGCAGATTTCTTTTCTGAAACTAGGCAGGACATAAGACAGTGGAGTGGCATCTGTAGAGTACTGAAAGAAAGTTCTGGTCAACCCAGATTTCTATACCCAGGAAAAACATTTTTCAAAAAGGAAGATAAATTGGTCAATTAAAGAAATGGATGTTGGATGCTAGGAGCCAGGTTTCCACTCCAACACTCCTCTTGGAGAGGAAATTTACAGAGAAGCCAGGGGAGGAGGCTGGAATGATCCACTTCGTAACAAGTGGAGTTGAAGACTCAGTAAGAACTCATATTTAGCTTAACACAGATGGCTATGTATAGAAACAGCTATACATATGAGTATATACACAGTATATACATATATATGTCTTTGCTCTGTAGCTGACAGAATCAGAAGAAGTGATACCCCAGCAGCAGTGAACAAACCGTGCCCACATCCTGGTTTCTAATATCATTATCCAATTAAACAAACCAAGGCTCTCTGGAGAAATAGCTGATTCTAGGACTGGGGCAGGAAACATGCAACATGAAGCATCTGGAGCATCTCGTAGTGCCAGGAAGTAAGGAAGTGCTCAAAAAATAAGCAAAATAAAAATCTCCACCCAAGCCCACATTGATGGGGGCATGTGAAAGGGACACAGGAACCAACTGGCCAGCTCCTAATGGCCAAAGCTGCGACAATGTGAGAAATAAAATCAAGTGCTTGGGATTAGAAGTCAAACATAAATATGGATCCCTGAGTTCTTACTGATATAAATAATTTAGATATAAATTAATTTAGAACTAGTGAACACATTAATAAACAAGGGAGAAGAGGCCAATCTCCCGTGCAGATTTCCAAATAATTTAGGTAGACACTCTTTCCTCAAGGGGAGGGAGCATAATTCCCTATTCCTTACATGTGGGCTGTGCACGGAGACTTTCCTCCAACCAGTATGGACCGGCAGGTGAGGGTGGAGCTTTACATGTAGAAATCCAACCAGCACAACCTTGACCAGGTAATCACGGTTCACATAACCAATCATACGTCATGTTGCCAGTGTGTGACCTTCATTTGATATTTAAAAAGTAGTGTTTTCTGTGATCTTTTCCCCCCTAAACTATAAACTATGCATGCATGCATGCGTAGTCACTTCAGTTGTGTCCGACTCTTTGCAACCCCATGGACTGTGGCCTGCTAGGTTCCTGTCCATGGGATTCTCCAGGCAAGAATACTGAAGTGGGTTGCCATTCCCTTCTCCAGGGGATCTTCCCAACCCAGGGATCGAGCCTGCAGGGAGCCCCCGGACGGCGGGGGTGGGGTGTGGGGTGGGGGGAGGGACCGATGACCCACCAGACTTCCCACCCCGCTGACTTCAGCCCCCAAGCTTGCAGACTCCTCCATCAGCTACCCTGACCTCTCCCCCCAAGCTCTTTTCCAACTGCGCCTACACTGGTCCCATCCTCCAGCCTCGCTGGGTGACCCAGTGCTCTGACACACCAACACTTTCCCGTCTTCACACCTGTATCCAGGCACTCCTCCGGGGTCACCTTGGCCCCCTCTGCCTTCATGGCATGCGTACAGTCCTCCCTGTAGGGGCACCTCCTGTATCATCGTGTCTTAGCATCCCCAGGGGAGAGATGAAACCTTACTCTGAAACTTCTCTCATGATGTTTATCATGATGCTTCGTGCCCATGTGTTGAATGCTCTGCTAAGTGGTGATTTCCTCAAGGGCCAGGACTCATGGTTTTATCTTTGTATCTCCAGATCCCAACCCAAGACCTGACATACAGCAGGGGTCCAAGAGATGTTACTTCCCTTCCCCTTTTTCTACCTGTGAATGACTCGCTATAAGGATGCTCTGTGCATCTGTCACAGCAAAGCCGAGCAACAGCTTGGCACACATACCACCATCACTCCCACCTCTGCCTGTGTCAGACATCACTAATCGATCACTGAACTTTCTCCACCGAGCCAGGACTCAGCTTCAGAATCATTCCCAACACACAGCTCTAGCTTATTTACAGAGTAAAGGAGCAGAAAAAAAATGTAGACACCACTAACCATGGAAACCACTGGAACAGAGTTGGGAGGTGGGATAAAGCTGACCATCCCAGACAGACCCAGTAAAGATCTGATCAGTGTCTCCCGAATGAAGCTACACACCGTCAGAATCAGGCGTGTGCCCAGAGCTCACGTGGTCCCGTGCATGAACAGCTCTCAAACTTTCGTGGGCCAGACATTTACCTGGGGTGCTTGTTAAAACTGCCTGTCTCTGAACCCTACCCCAGAAGTTCCAGCTGGCAAGATCGGAAGGCATGTCCAGGAATCTGTAGTTTACAGAGCACTCCAGGTGCTGTTGTAGATGCTCTCAGACCAGGGTCTGGATGCTACTTATCTGGTCTGTGCAAGTCTGCAGCCCTCCTCACTGTTCAAATAAACGGGGAGCTGCAGACTCAGAGAGCGACACACGGGACCTGAAGTCACAGCAAGTGTCAGGGCCAGAAACCACGGCTCTTGGCAGGGTCCCGTGAGACACACGATGGCCTGCGTCCCCCCACCAAGAAGCGGGGGCATCACAAGGCAGGCCTGGGCAGGGTGGAGGGGCCCCGGCGCCTGCACCCACAGAAGGTGCCCGGGGCCAGACTTACGCCTTGCTCCATGCTGTCGTTGGCACGGTCCGTGACCTTGGAGATGAGGGTCAGCGCACCTGTGGAGAGAAGCAGAGAGCACTGGACCTCCTGGGCAGCACCGGGCTAGCCGCCACCTGCTCGCCTCCTGCCCCGGAGGTCCCCCTGCAGGGCCGCGCAAGGGGGTAGCGCCAATCCTTCCCACGGCTGGGTGAGGGCACTGGCCCAACCCCAGCTTGGCCGCTACTGCCTAAGTGCCCTTGAGAGCAGTGTGACCCCTCCATGCCTCAGTTTCCCTGGCTGCATATGGAGCGTGTCAACATAGAGACTGCCCTGGCAAGTTCTGCAGTGATGGCCACACAGAACGGGGAGGGAATCAGGAGTCTAGGGGGTTTTTTAGAGCCAGCGCCCCCTCCTATCACCAAACTCTGGTCACCGCCTCTGATTGGATGTTAGCCCGCCCCCCGGGGAGTCCCCACGGTGGAGGCGAAGGGGGTGTCACTCAACAGGCCGGGAACTGGGGTGGAGTCCAGAGCCGGGGGACGGGGGGCCCGAAGCTCTGCTTCCTCCGGGTTCACACGCAGACTCACCTTGCGTGTCATCGTACTCCGCCGAGTCCGGGCAAAGGTTATTTAAATAGTCTGCGGACAGAACAAGAGCTGGGAGTCAGTTTGCCCTGGTGAGGCCTGCCCTCGGGGTCCATAGCAGGAGACCCTCCGTCTCCAGGGACGGAGGAAGACTTCCAGAAGGACGAGGGGAACCGCCTCTCTCCGGTCAGCCCGACCGTAGGAACACACTGGCACCGGCATGAAGCCGGGCCCTCAGCATCACCACCGGTGAGGCGCCCGCCACAGCTGGTCGTTCATTCATTTATCCACAGACGCTGACTGAGCACCTGCTGTGCGAGGCCGGAAGAGTCACACAGTCTACTGAGGGGGACACAGATGTGACCACCACCGGCAGAGTGTGACGTGCGAGACCCCTGAACACATTCACACCCACAACTGCTCGACACGAGCTGGTCTCACTCGAGCGACCTCTCCACGCCACTCGCTCACTCGGGCAGGGTTGGCATTCTTGCTACTTATTAAACGTGCCACGTCTGCTCAGACCCCAGGACCTCTGCACTCACAGCTTCTTCCACTTGGTACGCTCTCCTTTCGGACGGCTCGTGTCCTCACTTCACTGAGATCGCTGTTCAACGTTACCTCCTCGGACAAATCTTATATGAGGCCTGGATCTAATACAGCAGGCTGTTCCCCTGAGTATCCTCAATCTGCCTTCAGTTTCCTCGGAGCCCTTACCACGGACATAATATATATTCTTAATTCCTTGCTTGCTTGTTTGAGTATAAGCTCACAGTGTCACAGACTCCGGCTGTTTAAGTCACTTCTGCCTCCTCAGTTTCTAGCGCAGAGTCCACTACACAGTAGGTGCTGAATAAATGCTGGCTGAATTAGATGAACAAACCCTCCATCTCCTGGCCTGAATGTCTTTTCTTACGGCTTGATCGCTTTCTGGAGTTACGCGCATATGTCTACGGGTGCAGTTCCATTTCTCCCGGAGCATCAGCTCCTGGGCCAGGGGCTCTCTGTCCACTTGGGGGGCAGGTGCTCAGGACAGAGGTCAGGGTGTTTCTGGCAGGCAGAGGTCGGGGAGGGGATGGCATTCCCAGGGGACAGTTGGTAGAGAGGGAAGCAAAGAGGACCTGGGGCTGAGACCCAAGAAACACTGACACTCCTGGAGCCACCAGGGGGAGAATGAGAAGAGTCGGAGAGGCCAGAAGGGGGCGGGGAGAGCGTGTATCACAGAAGCCCAGGAGGAAAGGGCTTTGAGAAGCAGGAAGTGGCCAGTGACAAAGCCACAGAGGGGGCCAGCAGGTCCGAGGGGAAAACATCCGCTGACTCAGGAGGGCTCTGGCGATAAGGACAGATTTAGGGAAACGAGACCCACAGAAGCCAGGGAGGAAATGCAGATCGGGGAAGATGTGAGTGGCTGCGTGTTTGGCTGGGAGAGGCTGCAGCAAGACGCAGCAGCCGGGCACTCAAGCAAGTTTCCACGTGGCCGCGGGGGTCCGGAGCTCAGCGGGAGGAAGGGGGTGGGCTGGGCGCCTGGCAGCTTCACAGGGGCGGGGGGCAGGACTGAGGGACCCTCCCCACCCCTTCCGGCCACAGTGGGAGGCGAGGTCGCCATCGTGCACACCTGGCCGGTCTCCCCCGCCGCTCCGCAGGTGCCCCCCCTCCCCTCTCCCCACCGGGCCCCTGCACCTGCCCTCCCGAGGGCCCACCTGTGAGGAGCACTTGATACTGGAACAGGCGCCGCACCACCCGCAGCAGCTGGTGCTTCACGTTCTGGCCGCCTCCCTGCTGACTCTGCTGCTCCCAAGAGACCAGAACAACAAAACTCCATCAGGGACCCCTGCCCCCGGCTCCGGGCTCACGGCATTCCACGTGAGCCCAGCCACACATGTCCCAGCCGGGCCTTCTCCTGGCCGGGCCGAGCTATCTCCCAAACCAGGGTCCCCTCCTCCAGGAAGTCCTCTCAGATTAGCTCTGTCCCACTCTGGCAGCTCATTCCTTCAGGCTCACACACTGCTACACTCAGCAATAATCTCTCCCAGCCCCCGTGAGCGGTAGAGAAAAGTCCGCGAAGCTAGCAGGTTACTGGATCCTCAGCTGGTGGCCATTTGTTGCTCACTCCAAAGGCTTTAGGGCCCCGACTTGCTTTGTGTTCCTCTCCCGGGACAGAACAGGTGCTAAAACCCTCCCCGTGGCTGGTGCTCACGGAGTTGTCAGTGGTGGCCCAAGGCGGGATGTTCTGGCTTTTCCTTTCTGCTGGGTCACCCTCTCTTCCCCACCCACCCAGGTCTGACCTTCCCCTGATTGGCATGAAGCCTTTCCATGCCCGCCTCCACCCCTACATTCTGAGAGCGGGTTCCTGGGAAGACCAAGGGACCCACCTCAAATTCTCGGACGGCCGCTGCCAGCCGCGGGGCGTGGAGGCAGTTCTCACCGAGCAGACTCAGGTACCTGTCGAACTGCAGGATGTGAGCGGCGTGGTGCTCAAACTCCTGCTCCCGGGCCAGGAAGACGTCAGCCACCTTCTGTTGGCCTTCCCTGCAGTCAAGGAGAGGGGAATGGGACCTCAAGAACTCAGCCTCGTGGCCCCCGTGACGGTGAGGACCTGCACTGCATCCCAGGTGGTGGACCCTGGGTGGACCCTCCCGCGGCGGGTGAGGGACCAGACACCCCCGTGTCTCTGCTCTCCCGCCCGTCGGATGGAGACCCCGCTTTAGGTGTGGGGGGGTGCCCGCCCCCTCCAGCATTCCCCGTGGCAACGGGGTGGGGGCGGGGGCGCGGGGCCGCTCACCATTGTGCCAGCCTCTCCTCCAGCTCCTCCAGGATCCCCTGGTGAAGGTCGCGGATGGCCGGGAGCTCACTCAGGCCACGTCGCAGCTCCTCCCGGGCCACCGGGTCCTTGCCCTCGTAGTCCGTCTCATCCAAGGCCCTCACAACCGCTCCGTGGAAATCCTGAAACCCGGAGAGGCCTGTTACTAATGTGCATGCCCACAGGGCTGATTGAACCCAGGCCCCCTGGCAACCGGCTCACGGCTCTGGAGTCCTGACTCCGTGCTGACTCCAGGGACCTCCTGCCATGGTCTCAGACCCTGTGAACCACGGGTGACAGCATATTCCTGGTGATCACAGGTTGTAACGGATGCCCAAGGAGCCCCCACAAGCTCCTGGCATGGAGCAGGTCTAAAGCTTGTTCATTCCTCCCCTTCCTTCTGGGAACTTGGGTGTACCCTGTTCTTTTATGAAACGGGTAAGAAGTGGGGTAATTCCTTCTCTGAAGAAATATTATGCAGCTCTTGCTTTACAATTATCCATCTTTAAAGATGTTCATGGGCTGCTCTTTCACAACAAAGTCTAAAGAAACCACAGGCATCCGCTCCCGGGTGTAAAAACAGTGAAGACGGTGACTATGTAGAAACCTCCACACGTAAGGCTAAGAAACCAGGAAAAAGCTGCCTTCCCACCACGACGCAGCTGTGTGAAAAATGAACAAAGGGAAAAGCTGAAAGGAAAAGGGATGAAATATCAACAGAGATAGTGTCGGGGTATGGAATTAGGAATCGATTATTTTCCCTCTTCTTGTCTGCTTTCTAAAATGTCTGTGAAACGATTAGGTACTTTAAAAATTAAATTTAATGAACACTAACATTATAAAGAATCTAAGACTTCTCTCTCACAACAAAAATATCTGATCCTCAAATACACACGTCCTTACATGAGGCTCAGCACTGCAGAGTTGTAAATACACGGAATATCCTGAAGCCACCTTGAATCATGAAGCAACGAACATCAGGTGAACCTCAGCATCAAAAGTCATGGTCCGGCCATGCAGTTTTTGTTCAGTTGCTAAGCCACGTCTAACTCTTTGCGACCCTATGGACCACAGCCCAGGAATCCTCTGTCCATGGGATTCTCCAGGCAAGAATACTGGAGTGGGTTGCCGTGCCATCCTCCGGGGGATCTTCCCAACCCAGGGATCAAACCCACATCTCCTACATCTACCTGCATCGGCAGGCGGATTCTTTACCACTAGCACCATCCCAGAGTTCGCTCATATTCATGCCCATTGAGTCAGTGATGCTATCTAATCGTCTCATCTTCTGTCACCCCCCTTCTCCTCCTGTCCTCAATCTTTCCCAACACTGGGGTCTTTCCCGATGAGTCAGCCCTTCGCATCAGATGGCCAAAGTACTGGTTTAGCCCAAATCCAGAAGGTCAGGCCGCCTTGTCCGCATTCAGGAAGGACAACCACCCTGCCTTTTTCAACTGCCTCCCTGACGGGGAACTCATCAGTGGGCAAGACGGTTAATCCCATCAGTGAACAGCTGTCCCTGTTAGGGAAGTTCTTCATAGATATCTGAAAAGGGTGAGTGCCCAAGAGGCAGGCAGGTGGGATGGGGCTGAGAGAGGGAGCAGAGGAGAGGGAAAGAAAGGGAAAAGAGAAGGCAGAGGAAGGGGCATGGATGGACCGAGTGAGACAGATCACAGGAGCGGGCGGGAGCGGGGCGGAGACCCAGGGAGACTCTCTGGCCGGCCCAGAACATCGGCAAGGAGGCCACCGTGCTCCAGGCGGGATGGCAGGTATGAGGCTGCAGACGTCTCCACTTGCTCAACGCCCCACCCTGTCCCGAGCTGACCTCCTAACAGCACCGGCAAGGGGGCCGCCAGAAGGGCGGTCACCCTGGCCTGCAGTGCCAAGGAGCTCGCCTCCCCATCACTCAGGTCAGAGACTCGGAGTCCTCTGGGCAGAGAGCATGTGTGTCCTTAAGCAGAGGCCACATGTTTGAGCCATAATTAGAAACCGAATTCCATTGTACCTGAGCAGCCAGAGCCTTTCCTGAAAGCCAGTCCCGGGGGTGGAGGAAGTATGAGTGACAGGGAGAGGCCAGTTGGGTGGGGTCGGCAGGCAGAGGGCGGTGGCTCTGAATTCTTAGTTCCGCCCAGAGCCGGCTCTGGGACCCCGGGGTCGTTCTGAACCTGGAGGGGAGGTCTCTCTGCTGACCTGGTGCGGGAGGACCCACCCACCCCTTCCTTCCGGGTCTCTGTGTATTTTAGGAGCCAGCCTCCAGCCCCACAGGGACCCCCAAGCCCTGTTGAGTAGCTCAGTCGTGTGTCTCTGTGACCCCATGGACCGAAGCACGCCAGGCTTCACCATCCCCCAGAGTTTGCTCAAACTCATGCCCACTGAGTCAGTGATGCCGTCCAACCATCTCACCCTCTGTTCCCCCCTTCTCCTCCTGCCTTCAGTCTTTCCCAGCATCAATGTCTTTCCCAGTGAGTCAGCTCTTTGCATCAGGGGGCCAAAGGATTGGAGCTTCAGCATCAGTCCTTCCAATGAGCATTCAGGGCTGATTTCCTTTAGGACTGACTGGTTTGATGTCCCTGCTGTCCAAGGGACATCTCAGCCCTGGCATCCCAGAGAAAGAGAGAAAACATGCCGACACAGCCGACTGCCCCTCCTGCCTGGCAGCTGGTTGACAGCGGACTTTAATACACTCCCTCATCGGCTCTGGGCAGGTTCCAGCTCAGCTACCCCAGAAGTGATCACAGGCAAACTGCCAAGCTATCCGAGCCTCAGTTTTCTCACCTGTAAAATGGGGATGACAGTGCCACCAAGTATACACAGCGTGAGGCTCCTGAGAGGCTCATCCTGATATTTAAAACTGCTTTGTAAACTGTAAAGCACTATTCCCACAGCAGCAATGCTTCTGCTTTATTTTTTAAAGTACTTTATTTGTGGCCACACTGGGTCTCCGTGGCTGCTTGAGGGCTTTCTCTAGTTGCAGGGAGTGGGGGCTACTCTCTAGATGTGGTGCTCCGGCTTCTCCCTGCGGTGACTTCTCTTGTTGCAGAGCATGTGCTCAGGCCCACAAGCTGTTACTCTGCAGCACCTGGGATCCTCCCGGACCAGTGATAGAACCTATGTCCCCAAGCACTTGATTCTCATCCACTGTGCCACCAGGGAAGCCCTGGTTCTGTTTGAGATAAGACATCTTCAGAACAGGGCCCTCCCATCTTCTGAAGTCCAGCAGAGTGTGCATTATCAACAGAGGAGTTTTATAAGGCCTGCAGATGGATGGATGGCAGGGCCCTCATTTAACAGAAAAGGAGAGTGAATCATGGGGGAGCCAAGACCTGAACTGGGTCACCCTGACATGCAGACCAAGTACACCGAAGCGGGGAGAGGGAGTGGGAAGGACAAGCAAAGACAAGGCTGCGTTTGCATCACACTCCAGGGAGCTGAAATATTAATGGCTTTGCAAGCTGGCTTCTCATCTGTAATTAATTCTCACTCAATTGGCTCAGTCCCAACCGGCGGGACGGCCACCATCAACATGAGTCATTCCATAAACTGGTGCACAATGGGGATTGTTCAGACATCGGTTCTGCAAACTCACTGGAAGTGCGGAGAACCCACCACCCCATCCAGGAGCGATCGACGGTTTCTGCTGTCACTGCACCTGGGGGCCCAGCAACCACCACAGACGGAGGAAAGGCAGAGTGGATCCATGGTTCTCATCTCTTTATCACTCAACAAGTATCCTGAGCACCTGCTCTACTCCGGGACGTCAGGGAAGAAGGGTGGGAGCAGGAGAGACGCTGTCTTGCCCTCAAAGAGCTTGCAGTCTCGGGGAAAGGCAGAGAGCAACATGATGACGTCAACACAGGGTGTAAGTGTCATGCTGGAAAAGCACCAGGGCAGTGCAGACCCCGGGAATGAGACCGGGCTTAGCTCCAGGGAGGCCACGCCCTGGAGACAAGAGGGGGAGTGGTACCTGATTGGGGACAGCAGGTGCAAAGGCCCTGAGGTGGGGGACGAGCTGAGCGGGGTGTGGTTTGAATGCTGTGGGTGTGGCTAAGTGAGTGAATGTGTGTGTGCACTCAGGATTGGAAGATAAGGATGCTGAGGGGTCAGACGGGACCCATCTCACAGGCGCCCTGCAGGCTCCTTAAGGGACTTGGGTTTCATCCTGGGTGATGGGGAATCCTGAAGGGTGCTAAACAGGGGAGTAAAATGACCAGATATCTCTCTTTAAAAGTTCACTTTGTTGGGAGAACAAACTGGGGGCAGTCAGTCCGTTGTTTCATGTTTGGTTCTGTTGCCTCTTGAGCTGCATACTGGTTTCTCAGGAGGCAGGTAAGGTCCGGTATTCCCCTGTCTTTAAGAATTTTTCACAGTTTGTTGTGATCCACACAGTCAAAGGCTTTGATGTAGTCAATGAAGCAGAAGTAGATATTTTTCTGGTATTCCCTTGTTTTCTCCATAATCCAATGAATGCTGACCATTTGATCTCTGGTTCCTCTGCCTTTTCTAAATCCAGCCTGTACATCTGAAAGTTCTCGGTCCACATGCTGCTGAAGGCTAGTTTGAAGGATTTTGAGCATAATGAGCACGTGAAATGAGCACAACTGCACGAGAGGTTGAACATTCTTTGGCATTGCCTTTCTTTGGGATTGGAATGAAAACTGACCTTTTCCAGTCCTCTGGCCACTGCTGAGTTTTCCAAATTTGGTGACATATTGAGTGCAGCACTTTAAGGGCATCATCTTTTAGGATTTGAAACAGCTCAGCTGGAATTCCATCACCTCCACTAGTATTGTTTGTAGTGGTGCTTCCTAAGGCCCACTTGACTTCGCATTCCAGGATGTCTGGCTCTAGATGAGTGATCACACCATCGTGGTTATCTGGGTCATTAAGACCTTCTGTACAGTTCTGTATATTCTTGCCACCTCTTCTTAATCTCTTCTGCTTCTGTTAGGTCCTTACTGCTTCTATCCTTTATCGTGCCCATCTTTACATGAAACGTTCCCTTGATCTCCAATTTGCTTGAAGAGATCTCTAGTTTCACTATATATTACAACTATCTTTTAAAGTAGGTAAATTAATATTTTTAGTTGGAGTTTCAATGTCAAGCTCTCAAAAATTAACATAATGAACAGAGAGAAAAGTACAC